CCCCCCCCCCCCCCCCGCCCTCCGGAATATCATCATATTAATACGGAACAAGATAAGTCTTATCCTCTGCTTGCTAGAGGATTTATGAATTGTAAAACAAACGGATTATCTCTTTGGACAAAATAAACAAAGGTGATGGAGTAAGTTAAGATTACGTAATATCTATCGTTCATTCTGATCGCTGATATGGAGTACTTGAATCAAAATCAAGACTACTGTGCCCTATGAAAACGAGGGAATTTCCTCAGTGTATGCATATGCACTGGCCAACTGCATACGATCAAAGTGATCTATGGCCAATTTTAAGTTTTATCCAAATACCAAATTGAAGATTTACCGAGAAGGAGATCGCACTTCACAAATAAATTAATAGAAAGCAGAGTTTTTATCAATATTTATTCTATTATGCTGTTTCATACAGTACTGATTAACCGGATCAAAAAAATGAAATGTGAGAGTGAGTGGTAGTGTAGTCGATGCATGAAAGATCGAAAATGGTTCTAGACAGCCCATCCTGCTTGACGTTCAGCATTATCGAATTGAACGTGTTTGTGCGGATTCTCGGACCATTGGGTATAATAATTCATCACAGAGTCTTCTGGATACGGTTGTTCCTCTCCGGCACCGATACTGCTCTCAGAAATTGTACCGGTCAGTCGAGCTGGATAGTTCCGTTTGTGTTCCTCGACTCGTCGTTCACAGGCAATGCCGGTGTAGCCACGCGGGCAAACACAACTGCATTTCTTCCACAATCGGTCAGGCACATACAGTTGACCATCATTTGCGCAAAGTGGTACACACTGTCGTATCAGATATTGTAGTCGAAGACTGTACTCACCACTACGTTGAATCAACGCCCCATTTGTCTGCGACAAAAGATAGACTGCTCCGAAACACAAAAATAACTGTTTGTAGGAGACACAGAACATGTGTTCGCGGTTTAGTGTTTATATATGGACGATTTCTGTTGGTTGTGCAAATGGCACTGACTAATAGAAACTGATTCACACTAATCCCACAGTGTTACTTGTTGCCTTTTATGTCAATCGTATACCCGACTGATTGGATGTGATTGGAGCTTACATGTCCTTGGCTCTGGGTGCATGTGTGAGCAGCAAACAGTGTCTTCCTCATACGAAGAGGTGTTAAGATCACCAGCAAACAATGTCGGGAATGAATATAGGGACTTTCGGGTTTCAGGGGTAGGGAAAATATTTTTACCGATACTATTCTCCCATGCTCACACTTTGCACAGCCTGACAGTATTTGCCATCCACTCACCCAACACTCACGAATCCTAACTCACCATTCTTCACAAATTATTTTCAGGTTTTTGTCCTCGTGGGTGCAGTGGTATTTTTACGAACCAATCAGAGTGATGCGAGGTCAAATTAGGTAAACATGGGCGCGGAGAATAATGAATGTTTGTTTGTGCATATATGACTAGGTACGGCTCGATGGTTTGATCAAACCACATGAACACATGCAGCCAAAGAACTGTCAGGAGGCAGTACGGACGAAGTGCGTTGTAGAAATCGTAAAAGGTACGTTCTCTTTCTTCATAAGTCATTCAATAGATATTTGGTTTGTTTACTTCCGGTTGCCTTTTTATCGATAGTTTACATAACACTGAACAAAGATTCTGATACTGGCCCGATCCCCCACACTTGGTGTAATTTTGAATAATAGCGGTTCAGTTGCTAAACCTCATTTACCTGAACGACCGGCTCTGAACAGACCAAGGTTAAATATGTCAAGTGATTTCTGAGTGTAGGAGACCTAAGGTCTACGTTTCATATGTTAAATTACTTTAAGTTTTCCGTAGTGAAACTCAGAAAGGTAGGCAAATGTCTTAATTTATCCTAAAGTTATCGAGGACTTTGTTAACATGTGAGTGAAGACTAATGCTGAACCCGTTGTGATATTGTACTCTTAATTGAGAATTTAATGTATATCAATATAAAGTTCACCTCAGTCATCATGGAGTCTGGTTGACTAGGCCAACTGGTTAGACTGGTGGCAGACCGTGCTTGAGTCATGAAATAATTTATCTTGTTTGTTGCTAGCAGCCGTTAAAATGTTAGTGGATAGAATTGCGTTAAGTTCATAAGTGGTGTCGAGTAAATTCTTAGGCAATAAGTTCTACTGAAATAGAAACATATCTTGGTGGATCTTATCAGTTGATGCGAATGAAGTGAGTGCCTTGGTGTCATATTCGCAATGGCGACCTAATATTAAGACGAGATGATGTAACTCCTAGGTTTGCTACGGGAAGTGCAACTGAAACATTACTACATTAAATACATTAATATCCAAACTGGATGTGGAGAATTTTCATTGATTGGGGCTAACAAGGATGGAAAACGTAAAAATAATAAGTTGTCATCTGAAAAAGGTGACTGCTTCTTCATCACCATAATTCACAAAACTCTTGAGAAAATTGTCAATTGCAGCTGAACTAAAACAGAATATGGTGAAAAATTATATTTCGCATCCCCGGGAGGCATGACGGATTTTTATCAGTTAAGGCAAATAACTTGATATGCTTCCTTGAAGTAATCACTTACAAAGAAAGAAATTATTGATGGGCTGAACTGGCTGTTTGCGAAAGAGGAACAAATTGGTCTATCGATTCATTCAATTGTACCACTACTCTAGCTAAGAAGATACGCAATGAGTTTTTTGAATGACGCCTAGCGAGGTGTGAATGAGAACAGAAAAGTGATCCACTTTTCTCATGACACAAATCGAGTCTCTACATCTGAACCAATGTAGGAGGTATTAAAAACAAATTTTTAATTATTATGAGCAACATCGAGAGGCGAGCAGTTGAACCAAGCCTAAGAGATGTCTATTACACATTGTTATTCCCATGAGACAGTGAATGTTCAAAAGTTGTATCGAAATCATCCACACACTCAAGGTTCAAACTTTTATTTGCACCTGCCTCTTCTTACCGTAGCTCCGTTTTGATAAATCTAGCACGCTTACTGCACTCTGTTCACCTGCTTACCGATCTGCAAGCGATATAGAATTCAGTGTGCCAAAATGCAAGGTTCTATCCCTACGGCACAGGGGGAGATTTTCATATTTCCTCGGAAACGAACAACTGCCACACGCCACAAGTGAGAAGGACCTGGGTATCATCATTCAAGAAAACTTAAGCTGCTCACACAACTGCACCAAGGTGTCCAACGCAGCTGTAAAGAATGTCGGCTTGCTTAAGCGGGTCTTCGGCCGGTTTGAGTCAGCTTTATTCCCCCGCCTACTATCAGCCCACATTCGACCATTCACAGAATACACTATCCAGGCCTGGAATCCATGGCTACAGCGTGATTGCAAGATGATGGAGCGTCCGCAAAGGATGGCCACAAAAATGGTAAGGGGGTTGAATCGGTTTTCATACGCAGATAGACTGAAGTCACTGGGATTATATTCCAATCATTACCGGCGCATCAGAGGAGATATGATTATGGTGTACCAAATAATGCAAAACCCAAGCCATCCGTGTCGCCCGTTTTTGAAATTATCACCCAACTTTCATCTTAGAGGACACCCATTCAAACTAGTGGTCTCAAAATGCCGCTTGGAATGCCGGCGTCAGTCATTCGCAGTCAGAGTGTGTTTGATCTGGAACTCTCTACCATCCTACGTCGTCTGTGCTCCAAGCATTGAATCTTTCAAACTGAGGCTCGATGAAACACTAGCACATCTTACGTTTCAACATAAGTGAAGCTGCGTAAAGTAGTGGAAAACGCACGTATCACATGGCATTTTACAAAAAGAATTGTATGTATCACTGTTTCCTAATCCACCGCACGAACCTATGGGACCAGAAAAGCATGAGCTTGTAAGTTATTCCCATAATAAATCTTTGAAACAAACAGTGGTGTCACGAAGTAGGAGGTAAAGCTTTAGGTTCACAGGTAGTCATAAGCTGTCTCACCGTCCCAGCGCCTATATAGCTGCATAAAAGAAAATATTCTCCATGGTAATAATGCTTGAGTTTTTCAAAACGAACATTCCAAGCGGCTCAATTGGGGAAAATCTAATCTGTTCGAAAGACTTGTCAAGTCGAGTTACTAGGTCTCTTAAAGTTCCCGGATTTTTAAGGACATGCAAAATAGCTAGAGATTTATACCCACCTGAAATATTTTCATCACAATCACGGATCAATTTGTAATAAAGATTTGAAAACAGCCTACAGTACAGTGCAACTGTAGGGTTCTATCAAAGAACTAATGTCAAGAGATTATGTGGACAATTCTTGGGGTTCCTATCCGCTGATGGACTAATCCCTGCGACAGATAAATTGTGCTGTATTTAGCATCATTTGCAAGTACACCAATAAGCGTGGTATTAGGTACTTCACTCGGTTTTGAAAGTCGCATGTAATGTGTCGGGTCAGTTTGGTAGAGTTGCTTCAGTTGTGAAACTAACCCCCAAGCGATCGAAGGCGTGCATTTACTGGACGTCGTATCGGCCTTGGTCGGAATATACGTGTGAATGGTTGTTGGTTTCTTTTTGTACACCCAAGGGGGAGGGTTTCCGCAGATTAACTGGTTTTGTGCAAACCATCTAGACCAACTCGTGTGATCAGCATCGAATAGTTGTATTTGTGGGCCATGTTTATTTTATGCGACAAATTTCGATTACAGTCAACTTTGGTGTTGTCCAATTAGCACATTTTACTATGAGAAGAAGACGAAGCTGAACCTCTGATTCACAAACCAATTAATTTATTTGATATTCATCACCTTGAATTGTTATTTCTACGAACTCAGTTTTTAAAAACGATTGCGCTATAGAGTAGCGTACATGTTATTCATCTTGCTCATCCCACAAGCAAGAAATGTTATGCATTGCATCTACGTGAATATTGAAAACCGTCGTGCATTTTTATACTCCATCAAATAATTGGTGCCATATCATTCAAGGTGTAGGTGCAAAGCATCCTTCTAATGATGTGATGTGGTCTGTAGATAGTCACTTTTAAAATGTAACGGCTAACCAAGGCGAATGAAAAAAAAATGCCTACCGTTATCCAGTGCTGCATAGGAAGTTAACGTGGACAAAAAACTAACTAAAGTATATGCATTAGTTCAAGAAAACTGCGTTCTTTTCCAAGACAAGCCTCGAAGGTCAACAGGAAGTTCCAGAAAACTCATAGTAAAGCAGCGGTGAAAATTGATCAAGTTTATTAGGAATGCAGATGTTAAGACCCCCTTTAGACTATATCATAATCATAGGCAGTTAGGAATTTTGACTTTCATACCTAAATCAAGAGAATTCCCGAGAGGGTGTCTAATTAGAAGCTGAAGAGAAAGAAATTTGAGTATCTTTTTAACTTAAGTGTTCTCAAATAAAGGAAAAACGCTTCTAAATCATCCTAAAGAGTAATGAGCTCAGCTTCCTGTTTCAATACGCGCTTTACAACCACTTGAGGAATAATGCTATGGTTTTGGACAAGTCGCTAGGGTCAAAAACTATCCACCTTGGAAGTCATTACCGCCAATTGATTTTCCCATTTTCTTTGTGTCACAGAGCGACCGTTAGATGGATTGCTCGCCTTTTGTGAAATTCAACTGTACCATACGATATTCAATGAGACTAGGGAAACGGATAACAAGAAAAAGATGTGAGAGATCTAACCACTACCACACAGGCAACACTAAGCACGCCAATCTAACGAAAGAGATGACCGAATTATTAACTGAAGTTTCAGTGGTGTTCTTTTTTAAAGGAAACTACTTTCGTCGTCAATGGGTAGCTTTATGGAATTTTATAGGTAGCTCATGCTGTTCCACTTTATGGTCAGTTGTCATACATGGGTGTGGCACTTTGAATTTGTTTGCCGAGATACAGGTCGATCGAACGTTTTCCACCGTGCAAAGATTTCCTGATTTGATGCGGGTTGTATAGATCACTT